GGAAAACGCGCAGATTTCGTATAATACAGGGGGGTTTGGCGCAATTTACCCTTTTTAATCAACGTGTTAAGTTTCAAACCCTATAGGGTTATAACCTATTTTTCACCTCTATTAATTAGCGTTGTTTTTTTTACCCAGAACATTAAATATAGGCATGTTAGAGCTAGCTTGTAAAATAATTAATATTTTGTCTCACTAACACATTATACTTATATAAATTTCATTTTAGTATATATATTTATTCCTTGATATAAGAGAAAATAACAGTTTTATTTGTTGTTGTTCACCATATAATACTTAATTATTATTTTATTATAAACTTTATTGTCATATAATGTCATTATTATTTATAAAAATTATAAAAATTGTCCGTCTTTTTTATTTTATGTAATGAACAAAAATTAATGCACGTTAGTATATTATTTATTTATGTAATCAATTTAAAGTATGTAAATAAATTAAAAATTAAATATTGTATAAATATTTTATAAAATAAACACATGTTTTTTTAGAATTTAACTTTGTATACTAATTAAACAACTTTGATTTATCAAATGCCAAAAACACAATCTTTTCTATAAGCAAGATTTTTCTAATTTGAATTATAAGGATTTATAGTTTATTTAGCAAACTATGCAATGAAAATATATTTTACAAGATTTTCATTATAGAAAGAAATCAAAATAAAAGAAAATGATAAAAAAAAATAATCATGGTTGCCAATATGATACAAATAAATTTTAAAGAACAATTAATATATTTCAATTTTAATTTTTGACCATTAGTAAAACTATTTAATGTATCTGATCATTATCTCTCAATTGGCAAATTATAATAATTTGAAGAATAATTTATTTATTGTATATAAAATAAAGCTTAAGAAAAAATTATATTGGCAAAGACTAATTCACCAACTTGATTTCATCTGATTAATTGGAAGAAAAAATTCTACCTAACTTGTTAGGATTCCAATAAATATTATTGGATAAACAACGAATATTTGTGGAAAAACTAATATTATGGCTAGAACGTAAATTATGTTGTAATATTTATCCTTACCAAAAATACCAACATGAATCACGAAAAATATCAAGTAATCTGTTATAATGGATATCAATGAAATTATTGCAGATACTAATAAAATTATTTAAGGAAACAATATTTTTTTATCTTACTTAAAAACATGTATATAAAAGCAATTAATGCATATATTTTAAAATTGTCCAAGAAAATATATGCATTGTTGACGAGCGTTTTCGGTCAACGGTTAAAATGGTAAATGTCGAAAGCAAAAAGCTGGAAGCGGGAAGAAAATTTGGTTTAATTACGGTTTTATTAGGCGATCACGAAACCGACCTCTCGTACGAGGTCGGCACTTGTGATATCCTTACAGTTCTTACAAGGAGTTTCTTACAACTTAGAGAGAGAAAGTAGAGAGATAGCAGAATTAGTTGAGATTCAACAACCTAAAATAAATGAAATGAGCTGCTATTTATAGTAGTCTTTAATGTGGTACTGTTCAACTACTGTTCACTGGTCTTGTCGCACAGTGGCCTTGCAGAGCAGTTCGGCGTTTCTCTGACATCTATTTAGGCTATGTTTGGTAAAACTAGCTGATAAGCTAGCTGATAGCTGATAAGCTGGCTTATAGCTTATATGTAGACTATGTTTGGTAAAATTAGCCGATAAGCTAACTGATAGCTGATAAGCTAGCTTATAGCTTATATGTAATTTTTGAGCTTATAGCTTATGACTTATAGCTGAAAAGCTAGCTTATATGATAAAAGGTGTTTGGTAAATTAGCTGATAAGCTAGCTGAAATAAAAAAAATTCAACTAGCTTATTTGAAAAGCTACCTAAAGTAGCTTATGAAATAAGCTCGAGCTTTTTAAAAAAGCTCGTCCTACCAAACGAGACTTATTTTAAACAGGGAACTTATAAGCTAACCAAATAAGCTAAAAGCTAGCTTATTTGGCTTACCAAACATACCCGTAATTTTCGAGCTTATAGCTTATAGCTTATGATTTATAGCTGAAAAGCTAGCTTATAAGATAAAAGTGTTTGGTAAAATTAGCTGATAAGCTAGCTGGAATAAAAAATTAAACTAGCTTATTTGAAAAGCTACCTAAACAAACTTATCAAATAAGCTCGTCCTACCAAACGGGGCTTATTTGAATACAAGAAGCTTATAAGCTAACCAAATAAGCTATAAGTGCGATTTGAGGTTTCTTCAATCATTACTTGTCAGGCATTAAATGCCAACATGGGGGACATTTAATGCTGGTAGGCTTTATTGACTAGGCTGGCTGGTAGGATGCTAGGCTATGATAACCTGTCCCGTCATCCAAATGATGGCCTCCCAAGTGGGAATATTTTAATGCTCATCGAGTCCCGCCCTTTCCTTCTGGTCGGCCACCCCGGATCTTCAGGTCGGCACCTTACTCGAACGTGTTTGCGAGACGGCCAATAGCCTACTTCCTGCCCGGCACCCTCCCAGGCCGGCTTCTGTCCGGACTGAGCCAGGTGCCGGTCTAGGGAAACGTTCCCACGGCGGTTCTGCATATCTTTAATCTTCGGTTCAGCCGGCACCCCGGTATCAGACCTGGTCTTCAGACCGGGTCCTGAGAGGTCAAATCTCCGGTTCATTCTGGGCTAACTAGACTATCAACATGCATTAAATGTTCTTAGAATTTTTTGCTACTATTTATAGTAATGATTATTCTTATTATGTAGTATATAGATTATAGAATAGAATGAATATCAAAGATAATTATTTATTATTGATTATAAAATGGTATGGTCTTGCGTTTCTAAGGCTTAAAAAATCAATAATGATGGTTAATTCTCCCACAATCACTCTATTTCACTTCAAAAATATGATATAACTCCAATCAATATTCCAACGGAAATATATTCCAATGGAATTCCAACAACAATTCCAATGAATATTCCAATGATATTATTTTCTATTGAAATTAATTTTTCACTGGATTTCAATGGAAATTTCAACAAAAATATTCCGTTTGAATGAGTTTTTCATTGAAATTTTGGTCGGATTTTTTTGACGATTTCAACGGTTGAAGTATGAGTGAAAATAAAAATTCCAACGTAAATTGGAAATTCTTACGGTAAAAAAACGTTGGAATAATAGCTGCTGGAATGATCAAATTTTCATCTAAATTCCAATGCATAACTCATTCTAACAGAATAATTCCGTTAGAATCTTCATTGGAATCGTTTCAGCGCAAGTTATACCATTGAAAGATATTCCGTTAAAATATGGCTTTTTTTTTGGGTAGTGTTTATATCTAATTATCTAGTTTAAATCACCAATATGTTCATAGATAGAGATGTTAAATGGGCTAGCCCTAGCGGTTTCGGGTTAGCCCTAACAGGGTTTCGGGTTAAACGGTCCGGACCTAAAAAGCTCGGATTTTAACGGGCTACCAAAAAAAGGACCTAACCCTAAACCTAGCGGACTTCGGGCTAAACGGGCTATGCGGGCTATAATATTATTATTATTATTATTATTATTATTATATTATTATATTATTATATTATTATTATTATTATTATTATTATTATTATTATTATTATTATTATTATTATTA